AATTCCAGATGAAGACCCTCTTGAGGTCCGCCCAGTCATGGATGCTGTCGTGTGGATGGAATTCAAGCCATGTCCGGACATGTTCCCCCACGCAAATGGGAAGGTATTAGATGATGAAATAGTCATCGTCCACTCCTCCAGCTCGACAGGCGAGCCGGAAGTCTTCAGCCAAATGCCTGGGTTTGACTCCCCGGTGTATTTGGTGATGTTGGAGGGAGGTCGGAAACGCTGTGGAACGGTGCCCTTCGGAAGCACCGGCTAAAGGCCCGTGGCCCCGGACCCTCAAGGCTGGGGCTCCGGCCGTCCGGCCAGCGACCACGCCTGGGTCATGTTTCATCGCTTCCCTCAATGGTTTGGCCAGGATCTGTGTCGCCCGCCACCGTGTGGTGGTCGTCGTTGCCGTGTCGGGCCCGATGCCGGTCGCTGATGATGCTACGAGCGTCCTGGTGCGGGTTGGGCCGCTCGCGTGCCGGCGGTCGGTGTGGAGCAGGCGCCCGGTCAGACCGCGGCGCGGCTGCCGCACCCCGAGCTGAGCCTGATGGCTGTGGCGACGAACGCGTGGAGCGATCCGGTTGGCGTGTCCCCGTCCCCCCGGTGGGGAGAGAGGGTGCGGGTCAGAGTCGCGACGCGGAGCTTTCCGCCTGCTGGACGGCGGCGGCCTCTACTAGAACCCGGAGGTTCTAGTAGACGGCTCGTTCCTAGGGGTCGACGGGCTCGGGAACACCGCGCAGGAGCATTCCCGCGGCAACGATGTTCTGGCCGGCTCGGGCGAATTGCGAGGCGTCGTTTCCCTCGTTCAAAATGTCACACTCGACCTGTCGAGCGCGTCCCTGGGCGCCGCCCACTGGGCCATGCGCATGGGGCGCAACGTGCCGCACCGATCGTGCCGACGCAGGGAGTGGCTGGCTCTGCCGTCGTTGTCGTAGTTCCTCGATGTGTGCTTGCGCAGACGTGAGGGCCCCCGCGCATGTGTCCGGAGGGGTGTGAGTCTGCGCGGACTCGGCAACCACCGGTGGTTGTGCTGGACCACCCGCCATAGCGCATTCCCGGGACGGATGGTGGCGAGACGTCACATCACCGATGCTGGAACCATCGCTCTCGCCTTTGTTATCCGGGAGTTCGTGGGAAACGACAGGGGTGGAGCCTGCCATTCCTACGAATTCAGACATGAGGGGGGATGGTGCCGGCGTTCTTCGGAGCCCCCGAGCGTAAGCGTCTGCGAAGGACGTGTGGCCGTAGGGGAACCGAACATGCGGTGTTTGTGGCGTGGGTGGTGCGGCCCCTTTGGATTATCGGTGGGAGGTAGTAAATAAAGAGCGAATAACGGTACGCGTATTACTTACAGTGGGGTTTGAGCAGAGAGTTTGCTCAGAATGAAGCGCAGATGCCGCGCCATTGAGGTCGCGCATCCCGGAGTCGGTGGAGAATGTCTCTCCGACGGGTGTTGGGTCGCGAGTCTCCTCGCGGAGGTGGAGTACGCCGAGCCGGTCGGCGACGAAGTCCAGGCTTCCGAAGAGGAAGGCCTGAGATGGCTCGAAAACGAGTGGAACCCGCATCCCCGCAGGAGAGAGTGCGGGATACTTCAGTGAGCCAAGGTGAATCGTCTCGCCCGAGCCCGCCATGGTGGGGGTGGTGGAAAAATGGGCCATCCGATGACCAAAAAGTATTGAACGTACAGCGTCTTCCCCACGGACGGCGCCAACTGTCGGTACAGAAAGTGACCAACTAGTGAATATTTATAGTTTTGCTGTACGTTATGATCGGAGGTGGCCTAGCACTCAATGACACAGGATTTAGACTGGTTCGGGCAACGTGCCCTACATCCAGTGTGGGTCTGTTGGTGACTTTATTCCTGAGCCCAGGTGCTCAAAGTCTGTAGTGGGGTTACAAATGAGAAGAAGAAAGGAGGGGTGTACGAGAGGCCCGGTCGGGTCCGACCGGAAGGGCCGAGGGCGATCAGAACTCCGCTATGAGCTAGGTGTTCAAGCGTGTGCTTGAGGGGTTTCTCAGCTATCGATCTAGTGAGCCTGAGCTTAAAGAAGTGGACCTCTGGAAAATCGATCCCCTTTGTTGGAGGGAGCGCATCCCCTTTTATAGATAAAGGGGATGGCTTTACAGGTGAGAGGAAGAGAGTACTGATGTCTCTAAGTCTTGTTGCCCATGCCGAGTGAGGGTAATGATGATGGTTGGCACATATAACACTGTTGATGTCGCTGTAGAACGTCAGGTGCACATGGGGGTTGCGTTGGCTTCTTTAGGAAGGGTGGACGTCGGTACCTGTGAAATGCTGTTAGTATGAGGACCCCCACCACGTGTACCAGGTATGGTGAATCCTGGTGCCCACTATCGATGCCTAGAGGCATGTGGGGGCCTCTTTGCCGTATGGGAGCCCCAACGGCGCCTACAATACTGTAGACATAAAATGTCGGCGCCTACAATACTGTAGGCACAAATGTTGGAACCTCCCATACTGCTTGTGTCAGGTCGGTTGTGGAGCACTGTTCCCACAGGTGTACAGGGTATGGTCCCGGTACCATGTTTTGACTTTATGCGCTGCTTTCTCCGTTCGCCCCTTGTCCCTTCCGAGTGGGAATCCCCGGTCGGATGGCTCCAGTCGGTACTGGCCGTGCCAGTCGGAGAAGAGCGGTAAGCAGCTTCCTACGAGCCCCCAGTCGGAGACGCGGGGTCGGAGCAGGAAGCAGCGTTTTGGGCCAGGCCTTCCGATCGGGGAGTCCGCCCGGAGGCGGCCGGCGCCCGAGGCGAGCGCTCCGGTCGGAGAGGTGGGTCGAAGAAGTTGTCGAGCGGGCGTTCGTTCTTTCGGCGGACCTTCCGGTCGGCGACCGGTCTGTCCCCCCGGCCCGTTGTTTTTTAGACCTTTTGGGCCGGCCCATGAGCCACAGGTTGTTCTCCTGGGCCGAGCCCGGGCGTCGAAGCCGGTCCCCGAGGGACCCCGGGTTTATGAACCCGACAGGTAGTACATGATGTAAAAATATATGAACTCCAGAGAAGAATCAGCAATGATGATGAAATAGCGTATGTAGCTCGGTGATCAGTTGGTGTGAAGATATATTTATATTTAATACAAAACGCCCGACCAGTTAGTGTGTAGCTGAGTCTTCAGTCCTAGCTAGCATGTTAACCATAACGCGGAGCGCGGAGCCCGTGTGCATGTAGGAAGAACAAAGCGTCGCTAAGGAGCCGCTGCCGACCGCCCATAACGTAGAGGGCAGACGCTCGTGCACGTGTAGAGAGGAGCCAAAGATAGGGCCGTCTCTAGGGACATCCAAGCATCAACATGATTGTTCGGGAATTTGTCTGAAACTTAGTTGTATGTCATCTTTAAGATAATATACATGAAAGAAAATCGTTTGAAGAGCAAACATGGAGAAAACAGCTCGGAGAAACATTATGGCGATATACCAAGATTGTAGAATATTTAGAAAAATATTAAAGCGTGACTTAGCTTTAGACAGAATATCTGGTAGGCGGCGTATGGCGTTATCTGGTCGGCGACGCGGGCAGCTCGCTTAGCGGCTCGCTTGACGGCTAAAATAAAGTTGATCTCGAGTTGGAGTAGGACGGACGTAGTCGGAGCTTGGCGGTGTCAGTCTGCGTACGAAGACGTGTGCCGTGGTTGTCGACGCGATCCGCCGGGTTGCCGCGAAGGATGTTGATCTTGAGTTACGCCATCTGATTCGCTAGGGATTAGCGTGCACGAGCCCCACGGTGGAAGCCAACTGTCGACAAAAAAATGCTCGGTGGTCCTCCGAGGGGTATCCCACGAAGGTAGATTGATCGGTGAGGGTGCACGTAATCAGGAACCGGATGGTGACATAAGGCGTAGAGACAGCGATTTAGACAGGTTCGGGTAATACCCTACGTCCTGTGTCTTTGGTGTATTGTATGATATGTAGTAGACGTCGACTAGGGGACCCCCGTATCTCCTTATATACTATGGAGGGGTAGGGTTATAAAGATAATATTTTATTTGGTACTATATAATATCTTGCAGTGCACGTCGACCAGTGCCGTGCACGTCTTGATCTTGTGGGCTGAGCCATCTTTGATGGTGCGGCTCATGTCTTGTATTGTGGGTACCGGAGGCATATCCCCACAGTGTCCGTTCTGTAGTATCCGCGATGAAGCCATCCTGAGTAGTGTCTCAATCCAGCTGCACCATTTGTCGTTGAACCCATGCGCTTGCAGGACCTCCAACAGGAAGGGCCAGGAGAGCGTGTCGAATGCCTTTGAAATGTCCAGCTTCAACAAAAGCATTGGGACCTTCTTCTTCCGGATTAGCACTGCTGCACGTTGTACATATTTGTAGTTGTCATGGATTGAGCGGGTTCGGATGAAGGCGTTTTGGTTCCTGCTCACCATCTCGGTCAGTCTTGGCGCGAGTCGCAGGGAAAGGATCTTGGAGACTAGCTTTGGGAAGCTGTGGATCATTGTGATCGGCCTGAAGCCTGATGGTGAGCTGGCGCCGACCTTCTTTGGTAGAAGTGCAATCAGAGCGTTGTTTACCCGATCCATGCTCCTGGTGTTCCCTTGCTCGAACGCATGCACTGCCTCCATGACCTCCACTTGGATGACGGGCCAGGCCGTTTTGTAGAACGCACCGGTGAAGCAGTCCGGCCCTGGAGCTCTATAGCTTGGCCTTGCTTTGATTGCGGCCCAGACTTCGTCAGCACTGAGCGCGTCTTGGTCCTCCAGGTTTAGCTGATGGAAGCGAAGAGCCTCGAAGTTCAGCGAATGCCCCCCTCTAGCAGCTGAACCGAACACCCCAGCGAAGTGCGAGTGCAGAGCTAGCTCCATGACGCAATGATCGGTGATGATATGGTCGTCCACAGAAAGGGCCGGGATGAAGTTCTGCCGTTTCCTTCCTCTGGCGATGAGATGAAAATAAGCGGTGTTGGCGTCTCCCTCGCTTAGCTGTCTGACTCGTGAGCGTTGCCTGGCCATGGTCCGCTCCAACGACGATAACCCCAGGCATCTCATCTTCAAACGTTTCCTAAGCCCGTTCTCCGCCTGACCGCCTCCGAGAGTTGCCGGCGTTCCTGGGCGGAGTCCAGTCGTAGCACCAGCTCCCTCGCCATGAGCAATTGTGCTTTGATCTCGCTGATTCTTTCCGCCGCCCGTCGCTGCAGATCACGAACCAGGCTTCGCAGCATCGCGTCGAGGCGCAACATCGGGTCCTGTATATTTGCCGGTCGCTTCCAGGCCTCCAGGACGACATCGATGTAGTCATCGAACTTGGGCCAGAAGAGCTCGAAGTGGAACCGGACCTTGCTCATTTGGCCCAAGTTCGTTTGCAACAGTAAGGCGGCATGATCTGATGCATCAGAACTCAACCCGCGTAGGTGTGCATTTGGGAACAGAGTGTCCCAGTCAATGGAGACTAGAACTCTGTCAAGGCGGACTAGCGTCGGATGTTCTCTTTCGTTGCTCCATGTGAAGCACCGACCATGAAGATGTAGGTCCTGTAGCTCCAGTGCCGCCACCGTTCTTCTGAACCTACGCAAGTTGGTTCTGTCGATCCGCTCGTTACTCTTGTCAGCTTCATTCAAGATTAAGTTGAAGTCCCCGGTTATCGCCCATGGACCCTGGCATGTATCTCTGATGGCTTCAAGCTCTTCAAGGAAGAGGATCTTGTCAGCGTCTTCCTGCGGCCCATACACGGAGGTTAGCCACCATCTGATCGGTCCATCACCTGCAGGACTGGGAAGCTCGACCGAGAGCGTGATCGAGTAGCAACCGACTAGAACTTCCGAGAAGCGCACATCCGGCTGGCGCCCTGCGATGAGGATGCCACCGCGAGTGTCGGACGCGGGTAAAAGTACGCGAACTGCGCGAACGCAATGCCCAACATAGAGTACATGATTGTTTGGGGGATTACACCAAGCTTAGTTTCTTGCAGGCACACAATTATGGATGAAAACGGATCGGATGCTAACGGATATCACTGATATTACATTTGTTTTCATATTTCTATCCGGATTTGGATTCGAATACGGATATTGTCAACCATGTCGGATAGGATACGATTGGATATCGACATTATAAATATGCGATTTGATTATTCGGATACGAATACGGTATCGGATGTTGAATATCCGGACTCAGATACGGACAGATTTGAACTCCTTTAAATGAATTCGGTCTCGAATACGATCGGAAAATATCCGTACCGTTTTCACCCATACACACAATCACTACGGAATACAGTAGATTTGTCGAGTGCTAGGGGTACTCGGCAAAGTCTCAAAAACACTCGGCAAAGGCTTTACCGAATGTAACACTCGATAAAGAGCACACGGTGTACATTTTAACGGCAAAGAGCTCTTTAACGAGTGTCCATCATTGGACACTCGGCAAAGACTTTTGCCGAGTGTCAATAAACACTCGGTAAAAATAAACTCTTGGCAAAAAAAAGGTTAACGGGGTGGTACGGTGACGACGCTTTTGTCGAGTGCACGACGGAAAAACACTCGGCAAAGTTTGCCGAGTGTCAAGCCCAAAACACTCGGCAAAGTTTCTAAACTTTGTCGAGTGTCAACGCCAAAACACTCGGCAATGTTTAGACACTTTGCCGAGTGTCACGCCCAAAACACTTGGCAAACAAGCAAGCAACGGCCGGATTTTATGGTCATTTTACCGAGTGTTCAGTATAATACACTCGGCAAAGTTAAAACACTCGGCGAAGAAGGTTCCTAGAATAACAGAAATTGGCCTCTTCGTCGAATGTTTTGGTTTGACACTCGGCAACGCATCTCTTTGGACAACCCCCTTTTTACTAATCTGTCACGTATAACGGACCCCTCTCAATTCACAATAAACCATCATAATTCACAATAAACCATCATCACAAGCATAATTATATGTCACATGTATAATAAATCATCATCATAATTCACAATAAACCATCATCATAATTCACAATAAACCATCATCACAGACATAATAAACCATCATCACAAGTCACAACTAAGTCACAATAAGCCACAAATGCAAATGCAATCACCGCGGATGCCCTTGGAACCACTGCGACAAATCCGGGTCTTGAGGCTGATTATTTGATGCTGCCGATTGATTCTGCACAAAAGAGAAGAGATTGCATATGTAAGACAAGATTGATATTTATATGTGATGCACTTAATATCTAAGGTTCCTTGACACATGGAGATTGCACTTAATTCTGCACAAAACAGAGAACTATGGAGCCCAAGCTAATCTTAAGAGTTTAGTTGCAATATTGCAAATGCACATGCCCAATATCATCCAGCTGACTCGCGGACCAAAACCTATCTAAACAAAGCATACTACCCACGACTCTACATCTCTACCTAGTCACAAAAACATGCAAAGTATTCAATCTAAAGTTCTTTAAGTTATTTTGTGCTAACATCTAAAGTTCTCTAAGTCATTTTGAGCTAACATCTAAAGTTCTCTAAGTCAAAGTATTCAATCTACGGTATAAGGTGTCAAGTGACTCACAGGGGTAGTTGTGGGTGGCTGAGGTGGAGGGAATAGCATCGGTGGCGGTGGCAAAGCTTGACCCATAATCGATGCAAAATTCTGCATGTATTGGAACATTTGGTCCATCCTCAACCGATTTTCTTCCTCTATCCTCTGCCGCTCGGCCTCTATCCTCTGCTGAATCATATGTTCCATAGTCAGCCGTTGTTCTTCCTCCATGTTCTGCCGCTCGGCCGCCACCCTCTGTTGAATCATCTCCTCCATCCTCGCCTCCATCTCCTCCTGTTGCTTCGTTTCTGCTTCCACCCGGGCCTATAATATTTCATCCCAATGTTACAAAGCAAAGTTAAAGTACGTAACAATCAACGAACGATGAATAAAACAGAAATAACCTGGAGAGCCTCCATCTAGAACTGTGTAGTGGGCGTATCGTGGGGCTCGAGCTCGTGCTCCTTGCTCGGATCTGGAAGAGAGTGGGAGTAGAGGCCGTGTCGATTGTACTGTCGCCAATCTAGTACCGGCCATGCTTCTTGCCTCCTCCCACCCTCATCACGATTTCTCCATCAAGATCCTGGGTGCTCGGATCGAACTCTGGCCCATGAACCACCCTTGCCATCGCTGTGTACTCAGTGACGCGGCTGTGGATGCTGGGATCGATGTACGCCTCGGGCGGGTCCTTCGGGTTGAAGTCGATGTTTGCCGTCGCCTTACCCTTTTTGGACAGAACCCATGCCTTGAACTGGGAGCAAGGCTGGCCATCATGTGACGACGACTGCGGCAAAAATGCAAAATGATTAGAAATTATGCAGAATTGAGCGTTAGAATAAAGAAATAAATTTGCGTACCCATTTTTCCCCGTATTCGTCGAGGCTCAGGTTGCCTTGATGGTGTGATGCACGTGGCATCAGCAAACGCCGGTCCCGGCAAGCGTTGTGCATCTCCACCCACCCAGGCTCCAACCACTTGTCCACCATGTATTCCTAGCACCGGGTATGCTGGGCGCACCAGTACGGAGGCACCTACGTCATCAAGTGTATGACATATGAAAAAATGAAATTAAGCGTAATTAATCTCATAAAAAAATAAGTATTAATGTTCTATATTTACCTTCAAGAATTGTTTCCGGATCAGGTTCATTGTTCTCGCCTCTTTCTTTTTAACCTTCGTCCCTCTGTATTGAGCATAGTAGTCGATGATGGCCTGGACGCGTGCCTCGTAGTGCATGTCGTTCATGAGCTTCTTGGCGGCTTCTTCAGAGATGGAGGCCGCCTTGGCCTCGTACCCCTCCTGACATCTGTAGAAGTCCTGCATATAGACGCGATGTATACAGTCATTACTTCAAGAATGTCCAGTGAATATGATGTATTGAGCAATGTAGTGCGAGGAATACTTACCCACAACTCGCCCTTCACCCGCTCCGCCTTGTTGGGGAATACCTTGCCGTCACGATCAACAGCGTCGTGGGCGGCGACGTAGTGGTCCCACGTGTAGGCCGGCTGCTGCTCTTCGCCGAACTGCACTAAGCCTGGGAAGTGTAGCCTGCACAAAAGACCAAGGATGTCGTTGACCTTGCGGTTGTGATCACCCCCACTGACCTTAATTCAACCCCTGCCCAAGTGATTAAGATAAATTATTAGTTTTCATTGTAATTTTCAACATATCAAACAAAAAAATATTGAGAACATCTAAAGTTACTTACTTTTTTTCAGAGGGTCGAATCATCGGGCGTCTCTCAAGAGGTATTGGTCGCCTCGGGAGGGTCGAGGGACCTCACAACCAAACCTGGGAACCAACTGTCTCCGCCTCCACCTGCTCCTGCTCCTCCTGTACCTCCTCCTCGTCACCAGAGGTGTGCGCGGAAGGTACCTCCTCCTCCTCAGACGACGACGAGGAAGCTACAGGCGATGGGGACCTCGCCCCTTTAACCTTCTCTTTACCCTTCCCTCGACCCCTGCCTCGACCCCTCCCTGAATCTGACCCTGAACCTGTAGCTTTGAATTTTTCGTAAAGCGCCGCGATCTTCCTCATACCGCCCACCATTGTTCAATCACCTGCAATTAAAAAGAGTAAATCAATCAGCAAAGATCATCTGTACATCAGCAAAGGATCATCTGTACATCAGGGGATAACAGAGAAAGGAGATGAGATAACAGAGAACCTATAACTATTCCCTACCATGACATCTGTACAAGGCAACAACAAAGGATCATCTAAAGATAGGCACAAGCAATGATTTTCTTTCCGAACATGCATCATGACAGAACTGACCAGAGAAGGTTTGAGTTTTTACTGAATCAAATTAATCACCATCACATTCAAGATGACTTGAAGTTACTGACAACATTATTTCAGTAATTCACCCCTAGAAGTATTAGAACTTGTAAACTTAGCCCATCCCTCCATGATCTTGCCATCCAACTAAATATAGCTTCCCCCTTTTCAGTCTCTCTTTTCTTTTTCTTATTCCTCACTGTTTGGCTTTCTTCCATCTCTTTGTTTCTCCTTTACCTCCTAGCTCAATAAAAGAAAAAAATAAATACAAGTAACAGATGCAAGGTGTTTATCATCTATGCAGAACTTGAGCATAGTACAGTAGCCTAAATCAGTGTGGAATGCAAGCAGAAAGCGCATTGTCATGTCTTTTTTCTCTCTCTAACTGTGTATCTTTGTATTATAGGGAAAAGAAATGGCCCATACAAGCACCCCTCTTACTAGGAGGGGTGGGTTACAACAATGACAAACTTTTTTTTGGAGCACACTGTCATGACTGGCTAGGACCAAGGCATTGTCATGACTCACAGCAAGTGTGAGCACACTGTAGCTGACATGGAATGATTGAAAGCCAACACAGGTGGTAGTAGCATCTGGGCACTCCAGTGACATATGTTTGTTCAATATGATGATCGTTACAGCAAAGAGGACCTTGACAAATGGAAGCAGAGATAGTTGTCTAGGAAGAACTACAGAGACATCCTAGGCCATAATTGACCTGTACTCCTGCTTGCTATAGTTAAGCAGGGCAGGGCATCAGAGCACGGGGTACTCAAACTGACTAATTTTTTTTTAGGAAAAACCTTTTTTTCTATTTTCTAGTTTCCCATCAAGTGCACCAAGGAAGGAACAAGTGCACAACTGGCAACTAAACACCATCTTTTTATCAGTAAATTTCTCAAGTTTCATCACATGAACCCATCAGTAAAACATCTGAGCAATCTTCAAACCCTTTTTTTTCATGTGTCAACCACTTATTGAACAGGCTACATAGCTAGCATGTACTTTTATTTTTTCTATTGAAGTGTATGTATGCAAATAAAATGTCTTAGCTAGTTGAAGGAAGTGCACTATTTGATATGTAAATGGTTCTAGAAGTAACATGGTAGATAACATTGGGACATGGAAGAAGTCATGCCCACTAACAGCATATATGTCAAAGTGACCACTGAGTATTGAATAATAGGGTTCACTGATCATGAGCTACCATGCAGAAGTAGTTTCCCAAATGTTGCAATGACAAGAAAAACTAGAAACCATATAGTTTTAAAAAAGATCAGTCAGTTTGCCAAAATCCAACCACAATACCACATTATAAAAAGAATAAAGCAAGAAAGTCAAATTAGTGTTGGATGCTCAATTTTTCAAAAGTCTTTCATGGTTCCAACTTCCAAGCAAACAAAGGATATCTAAGCTGGCCTACTCACAATCTAAGGAAATGCACAAACATTTCAGATATAGCAAGGAAACATCTTGTATTCAAGATACCAAGGAGACAGAAAATAGATAAGTTGTATGCCATAATTCCATATGTTAATTTACATATAAATGCAGGCAAAAAAAAGTCAGACACTCAAACCTAATTAACTACTTGTATAAGCAATTGGGCTTGATGCAGGTATGCTGCTCAATAATCCTTATAAAGCATTTCACTATCTTTAGCAAATGGAAAGACATATGAATTATTAAGACAATGCAGTTAAAGAAAATAAGCGTCAGCCTATAGCCCACAAGCTTTGGTGAGATCCATCACATATATTCCTTTTGAGGCGACAGGATATCTAGATAAATAGTTGCCCATACGGACGGAGATCTTTAAACTTAATGTTGCAGATCAAGTAAACGTTGGGTGCTGGAGGGCAACACAGGGCTAGACTTTGTGGAGCAAGTTTGAATGTTAACGCAGCAGATTATCACATAACTGTGCAATGAATCCATGGTTTCAACAGATGGACAAAATCTAGCATTTCATACACTTCTAACAAAAAAAGAAAAAAAAAATGCCCAACTAGGACAGTCACGACTTATTACTTAACTAAAAAATGATACATAGACTACCTGGGGCGGTGTCCAGTGGCGAAGCTAGAGCCGAAACGAGGGGGGTGCATTACTTTGGTACTACATAACCTTGATATGCACATATTTACGTGATAAAATTCGATTTTTTAAGAGTCAAATGCATCAACCGTCTTTGAATTGTCAAGAGCTGCTACATAGGTTCAAATGGTGCAATGCACATTCCTAAACTTGTAAAATGGTGCATCGTAGGTTCATTTCTGTACTATCCGACCACTGCGGTGCATCACTTAACAAGTTTAGGGATTTAGAAAATGTGTTTTTTCAAAGTTCATGGACATGAGTGACATCTCTTGACAAGTTCAGGGGTCATTCGAACATTTTAACTTTTTTTTCAAAGTTTGACCCAAGTGACATTCCTTGAAATGTGTGTAAAGTTTGTGTATAGAAAATTAGATGTTGACGATTATTTGCCACATAATCAAATGGCATTAGTGATCCAAATGGCATATTACCATGACCAACCCATTTAAAATAAACTTTTATTGAACTTAATAGTTTGACAAATCAAGGCTATAATATAATCGGAGCTCCTAATAATTATGAAATATTGAAAAATGAATCTCTACGTAGGGTCTGTTTGGATCCTATAGGTTAAGTGGCTAACAACTTCTAGCTAAAATTTTGCTCTAGTTCATCCAAATAGTAGGGCTAATTTTTAACAAGCCTTGACTAGTTGTTAGCCCATTAGCGAAGGATACAAACATGCACTGGCTAATAGTTAGATGGCTAATTTTTTAGCTAGCTTCTTAGCTCGGTTAATAATTAGTCTTAGCCGATCTGAATAAACCTCACTATTATTTTGTGTACTTGGTATCGAGTCTATCTGTACCTCAAATGAAAAAAAAATCTCCACAATACAAATCTGATCACTGGTTTATATCTATTCCTATGATAGAGATAATCTGCAAACAAGCAATAATTACTTGTTTGGCATTGTTCGACTCAAGCTTTCATGCTACCATGTTGGCTCGTGGGGGGTGCATGAACCTTGATTGAGGGGGTGCACACATGGTGAATATGAGATGGTTAGTGCTAAATTTCGTTTTTGTTGTGGGTGCATTTGCACCCACTAATGGATACGTAGCTTCGCCCCTGGCGGTGGCGGCGGGCTCCTGGGGCGGCGGCAGGGGGCGGTGCAGGGGACAGGGGGCCGTCGGGGAGCTGGCAGCTGGGGGGAGGGTGGCGGCGGGGTCCCTGAGCGGTGGCGGGCTCCGCACAGAGCGCCGGCCACTGGGGGGAGGGCGGCGGCGGCAGGCTGGGCGGCGGTGGGGTCCGAGGGAGGCCGGCGGGGGTTCAGGGCGGCAGCCGGAGCACAGGGCGGCGGCGGCGACGTGTGTGAGTGCGTGAGTGTGGGCGGGCGCGTGTGTGCGTGAGTGTCGTGTGCGTCAGGGGGGTGGGTCGTATGAAAGGTATGCCGAGTGCCCTCAATCTAGACACTCGGCAAACTAAAGATATGCCGAGTGTCCAGATCGGGGGCACTCAACATTGTTTTTTTATTTTGCAAACTGTCCGGTACTGTGCAGTGGGGCCGGATCAACAAAGTTGCCGAGTGTCCCCAGTACGACACTCGGCAACTATTCTTTTGGCCGAGTGTCAGGTAGAGAACACTCGGCAATTTTTTTTATTTCATGCTGCACCGTCCTCTTTCTTCATAGCGTGTTCTACTAAATTTGTTATCATGGACTTTGAAAGTACCTTGTCAAATTCACTTAACAATGCATATTTGATTTTTCTACGAATATTATTCCATTATTTTATGCAGTTATAACTCAAATTCAATTTATATCAATTAAAATTATATAATTGCAGTTAATAAATTAAAATTATCAAATGGATCTGAAAATTTCCTAAAATTTGACATGGACCAATCTATGTTGTCTATTACCTATACAAAAAGTTTTGAAGTCAAACTTCAATTCGACCGTCACTTTGACTCTAAATCTTACCAGATCCTTCTCAACTCCTCGATTCTTCTTCACAGATGTTTCGGTTTGTAAGCGTCATACGTGACAAATTGTGCGAAACCTTCTCAATTTTTTTCCACGGTCTCCACGTATGATAACAGGAGATCTTGATAGATCTCGTTATTTTCAGACTTCGTTTGCTTTTAAAAATCATTCGGTCACACGTTCGTGGTCGTGTTTCCTAAATAAAATGTTCGAATTTTTTTTTCATTCCCCGGGTAAGGCCCCAAAATGGACTTAATAACATGAATATGATTTCTCCACTCAATTTATTTCATTATTTGAATCACTTACGGTTCAAATTTGACTTAAACAAAAAAAATTCCTCTTAATGCAATAAATTAATTAAATATAGCAAACAGATCGAAAAATATACCAAATTTTAATATGTAGTACCACATGTTGTATATGGAAAGTAGAAAAAGTTTGGAGGACAGTAGAGGAAAAAATTATTATTTTGCCGAGTGCCAATAAAAAACACTCGGCAACAACATTATTTTGCCGAGTGTCAATAAAAAACACTCGGCAAACCTTGTCTTTGCCGAGTGTCTCTAGCGGACACTCGACAAAGTTCTAACGGCAGGGCGGCACACCCAACGGCCGTCACACGGCCGCCGCACGCCCAACGCACGTGTCTGTACTTTGCCGAGTGTCCATGTTTGCCGAGTGTTTCGTTGTAGTTTGCAGAGTGTTTTCTTTTAGGCACTCGGTAAA